CAATAAAATTGAGGGTTGAAACATCATCAGGATAACGCATGGCATCATAAATATTGAACATGATAACTTCACCATCAAATTCTATTGAAAGGGTACCATCATAAACATCTATTTTGGTTCTGGCAGTTTTTAAAAATGGTCTCCCCAAAAGAATGGAACCTGAATTTGGTGAGTCGTCATCTCCCATATCTAAAACATAGAAATCAGCTGGGAATATGAGTTCATTCACTTGAACCAAAATGTGTTCCAACACACCTTTTGGGTGCACCAGAGAACGATCAGCTAACTGAATAATGACTCATGTTTTTTTAAAGGCCCTACACCAATAGTTTTAAAAAGTGAATATGGCAAAACATTTATAGAAGCCCCTAAGTCCAACATAGCTCATGGAACTGAAAGGTTCCCCAACTTGCAAGGGACAGTAAATACTCCTAGATCCTTACACTTTGGGGGTAGCCTTTTCTGTAAAACAGCTGAAACATTCTCGCTTACTTTAACTGTTTTGTTTCCTTTTAATTTTCTTTTTAAAGTACATAACTCTTTTAAAATTTTAGAATATCGGGGTAGTTGTTTAATTGAATCAAGAAGGGGAATCTTTACCTCAACCTTTCTGAAGAAATCCATAATATCTTTGTCTTCCTTTTCTTTTTTCGTGTTTTTCAGTCTTGAGGGAAAAGGAGGAGGAGTAATTTCACCTCAGCTTCAGCAGGTCTATCTTTTTTGTGCACCTCCTCAGTCGCCTCAGATTCTTGCTTAACCACGATCTCTTCTTCCTCATCTTCTTGCTAATCTGGTCCTTTGTAGTTTTTACCACTTCTGAGAGTGACAGCACAAGCATTGTGCTTCGGGTTCTTGTCAGTCTGAGATAGGAATCTTCCTTGGGTTTGTGCTTCTATTTTGCTCATGGAGTTCGCGAGTTGTGATACCTGCTGCTCCAGATTTTTTATGCTAGACTTTGTTTCATTCCAGAAGGCTTAGGTACTGGTAGCAAGACTTTTAACTATGTCTTCCAAAGACATGCTGGGACTACTAGCTTGTGGCTCAACAGGTGGTTGCTGAAAGTTGCTTTGGTGTTGATTTTGTTGGAAAGGTTGCTGGAATCCAGGTGGAGCCTGGTATTGATTTCTTTGCTGGAAATTTTGTTGAGGCCTTGGCTGGAAATTATTATTTTGAGGTTTTCCCCAAGCTTGGTTGTTGCGATGCTAATCAAATAGCCTTTTCTGAAATCCTCCCATAGCCTGAACAACTTTAGTATCTTCTTGAAGTAGTAAGCACATATCAGTTGGGTGCCCGGTTTTGTAGCATATCCCACAAGGTTTGACCTATGGCTCAAGGGCCTTTTTAATGAAGTACATTGCCATTTTGATGCATTTTGACCAACTTGCAATCGCAAGTTCCAAGGCTGCGATCGCATGTATCTCTTTTTCTAGTCTGATGAATTTTTTTGGCACGAAAAAACCACGAAGCAAACATGCGACAAAACCTGTGATCGTAAAGGCAGACCTGCGATCGCAGGGAGACAAGGTGCGATTGCGTGCTCCAATTTTCGGCTCTTTTGATCGTCGTTCCTCCTTCCAAGCAGCTCTTGATCATTTCTTGGCATCCTTACTTGGTCTAAACTCCAGTTAAGCTCCAAAGCATCCACTAACGCATCCCGAACTTATGCAATCATCCATGTGCTCCATATGGCCCTGAAAAGTCATAACAAACGTAAGCAGTACGGGCATTCTACAAAATAATGATGAAACATGAAATACATAAGAATAATCGGGAGTTAGTTAGCTTTTTATAATGAAATACATATGAAATTATGCTAAAGGATGCATATAAAATGCATCAAACAAGCCTCCCCAAGCTTAGACCTTACTTGCCCTCGAGTAAGGAAATGATAAATTTGGAAATGGAATAGAGGCTAAGGGCAATAAAGGAATAACCTAGGCACACTGACAACTTAAAAACGGAAACCTAAATAAGAAGAACTGCCATAAGGTGATATTATTAGCTTGTATGCGATTTTCATGTAAATCAACTAAGGGCAATATTATTAGCATGTATGTGATTTTCATGTAAGTCCGGGGAATACCCGGTGGACAATACATAATTATCCTTTGTTCTTATGGTGTTGATTTTGTTTAAGGGGTTGGCTTACCTCTAAAAGTGATTATTTGTTTTGGTCACCAGTGTGTGTTTGCTTCTTTTCTTAATCAAGCAATTCTTTCCCAAGGTTTATGTTGGTCTTGCGGATTGATTTTGTTGATAAATGAGCTACCTGGTCAATTTGCAACTCCGGAGCCCTTACTTGCCTACGTCCCGTTGGGTCCATTCTAGGTATTCACACTGGGAACTTAAGAAATGTCATCTTTTCGAGTTGTGGGCTTGTGTTTCTAGGCCAAAGCATTTTAGTTAGCTTTAGTTTTGAGATTTGATTAGCTCGTTATGTTGGGGTGTCATTTTTGATTAAAGCTTGTTGATTACCCCATTTGGACTTTGCTCTAAGTCCTGAGCCTAGAGGAGTTGCACTCTGACCTTAATCATCTAAGTCAAATCGAGGTCCTCACCTCAATATTTTTAGGAATTAGGTACTGTTTTATTTAAGGGAAATTTTATGAACCTTTGAAGCCTTTATTCATGCCATGGTCGAGACTTGTGGCCTTTTAGACCGGATTGACATGTTTAGGGAAAGGTTATAAACCTTTGACGTCTATAGTTGCATTCAGGCAGCGGTTTCACTCAAATGATGCGGATGATCAGTCCTTGTTACTATTTGGTAAACGTGCAAAAACTATTATGATATCAAGCTTGAATTGTGAAAGAACATTCTAATAGTTTTTCTTCATAGTAGTCAATTTTCATCACTCTACTGATAATGTATGTAGAACATCAATATTGTTTGCGAGAATAAAAAGTGACTACATTGCGATACAAACTAAGGCCTTGTTCTTGGGGTAGTAGTGGTGTGTAATCATCTATTCGGAGTTCGATCATGCTACCATTGCCCCAATTGTATCTTATTTTGCTCATTTCTCTAGGAATAAAAGTGGTGTATGTTACACGCATTCTAGGTACGGGGGATCGGTCTCCCATCCTTGGAAATGTGCTTCTATAACTTTGTACGGTCCTTCCCAAACGACGCTTAGCTTGCCTTGGGGATATGTGTAGCTGGACTCATTCTTGCACAATACCCATTCTCCCACCTTAAAGTTTTTTACTCGTATACGCCGATTGTAGTAATTTTTGGTGCGGGCCTTGTAGGCCACTTGGCGGAGTTAGGCAGCCGCGTGCTTCTCATTGAGTATGTTTAGATCCTGATGAAGTTCAACCTCATTGATCTTCACATCAAACATTGTTACTCGTAAATGTTGGCTTGTGATTTCGAGTGAGAGTACTCCTTCTATGACGTACGTTAAGCTGAAAGGTGTTTCTCTGGTATTAGACCTTGAGGTTGTGCGATACGACCAGAGTATTGTTGATAGTTCTTCGACCCAATGCACTTTTGATTTCATCAAACGCTTTTTGAGACCATTAACAATGATCTTGTTTGACACCTCAATCTGGCCTTCGGCCTGTGGATGGGCTACTAAGGTGAATTGTCGATGGATTTGCTTCTACTAGCACCATTCTTTGAAAGGGCTTCCCTCAAATTGGGTACCGTTGTCACTAATCAAGACTCTAGGGGTACCGAATCGCATGAGGATATTCTTCCACATGAACTTTATCATTTTCCTGCTTTTGACCGTGGCTAATGGTTCAGTTTTGATCCATTTGGTGAAGTAATCAACAACCACTAGCAAAAATTTGAATCCCCCTGGGGCAACCGGGAATGGTCCTATGATATCTATGACCCAATTATGGAAAGGCCACATGCTACTGATGTTGGTTAGAGGCATGACGGGATAGTTTTGAAAAGGGGAGAAGGCTTGGCACTCCAGGAATTTTTTTTCATAATTTTGGACATGCGTCCTTATATATGTCGGGCCAGTATACTCCCATGCGGAGTATTTTTCCAGTGAGCGCCCATGCACCTTCGTATGCCTCAGCCTTGCCTATATGACTTTCTTCCAAGAGTGATTGTCCTTCAGCGTGGGCAATGCATCTGAGCCACGTGCTAGGTACCCTTTCGTGGCTGTTTCTCGCTTATGGCGAACTGTGGGGATTTGATTTTGATTTTCCTGGCTATCATAGGATCGTCTAGGAGGATGTTGTGTAGCAGGTAGTCTAGGTAGGGATTGGTCCAGTCAGGGGGAATTTTAATGGAATCGATTTGTCTATTGTTGATCTTCCTCTCTGTGAGAACTTCTACTAGCACTTTCTTGGTCAAGTGATCGAAAGATGTTGATGCCAATTTGCTAAGAGCATCGGCCCTCATGTTTTTTTCCCTGGGAGATATGCTTAATCCTGAAGCTTTTAAACGAATATGTTAGCTTCCGCGTTGTATCTAGGTACCTATGCATCCTTTAGTCTTTGGCTTCATAAGTGTTGTTAACTTGGTTAGTGATGAGCAGTGAGTCGCTAAAAGTTGAGAGGTGTTTCGCTCCGACCTCTTACGCTAGGCGAAGGCTCATGAGAAATACTTCATATTTGGCCTCTTTGTTGGAGACCTAGAAGTCGAATCTTAAAGCATACATGATCTCATCACCACTAGGGCTCTTGAGGATCATACCTACTCCGGATCCTTCCTTGCTTGCAGTGTCGTCGGTATGTAATTCCCATACTTCTTTGTTTGTTTCGGGGTCTGAGGGGTCTATCGACACAGCCGGTGGCACCCCTT